GTGTATAAGAGACAGCACACACACACACACACACACACACACACACACACAGGCTAAAAGTTTGAAACTACATATAAATAAATTTAAGAATATTCTAGTGAAACACTATACTTAAAAGTTTGATTCATGCTTCAGATACTCGATATTCTTTTAAGTAAATAAATATTATAGACACACATTATATTTAACACGTTGTGATTAATATAGTATTGTTTAATTTTAAATGGACTACGATCATAAAATCTTTTTCCCAAAATTAAACTATGGACTACTTTAGAAGATGTGTAAAAGAATCTTCCGTCAGAAAAACTAAAATTTAAACTTGTAGATTATAGAGATTAGTGATAATTAAATATGAGGATGACTACTTTAACGAAAAAAATATCTAATATTATTTTTAGTACTTTTCTTTGTAAACAAATACTTTCTGTAAAACTTTCAAATATATTTTATTATTTTTTAGTTTAGTATAAAATATGGAGTATAATAATAAAAATTGTTAAATTATAATGCATAAGTTTGATTTTATTATTTATAAATTTATAAATTATTTATAAATTTTATACATTTTTTCGATTAATGGTGATCTCAAACTTTTGGTCGGCGCAGTGTATATTTAAAGTACTACCATTGGAATAAAAAAGTTCACACATTTCGAAATCGGAAGAGTTTGTCTTCTTAGAACTTTCAGTTTTATTGCAAAGACGTATTTTTTCCGTGATATTTTCTCTTCCGCTCTCGGAGGAGGGTCAATCCTCCGTAAAACGCCCAAAAGCGTCTACGTGTACGTATCGTACACGACTATCCCGCGTCTGTGTTGATTCAGCAGGGCTAACGAATCTCGTGCTAACGATCCCGCATGGACGCCGACCAATGATGATGAGGTCCGGGGTGAATCTTGCGCGCCATTCTCTCGTCTCGGTCGAATGGCCGTGGCTCTTACCCCTCTCTCTCGTTCGTGGCTTTATCGTAACTGGCGGTCGCTGCCTCCCTCGATTCGATCAATGGAGGCACCTGTACCAAGGCGAGTGGGCAAACTGCGTCCACCCCCCGCCTACACAGCACTGACAGGACGAAATGTGCGTCCGAAATATATCGCCTCCGTCCGTTTGTTCTTGGAAGAGATAGAAGCGTTCTCGTAGATAGTACATTCGGAAAATGTAAAATCTTAATCGCCTTTCGTAAAAAGCAAGAAAATTTCTATAAATTTTATCGAATGTTTGAGCATTTTCCAGATATTTGGATATAAATACAAACAAGCAGTAATTATACAAAAATCTTCTATGAAAATAAATATACGTTATATGTTTTTACTTTAATACAAAAAATAATCTAAAAGATATTTATGTATTAGATATTAGCATAGTTAGAACAAAATCGAACGATCTGTGAATATAACACATGTCAAATTTATCTGTTTAAATTCTTCTAAAAGATAAGAATATTATTTTTTTTAAAGATTAGTTCACGAAAATTTAGAATTAGTAATGGGTTCAAGATTCGTTAAATTATTTTGAAAATCTAACGAAAATTTTGGCGATTTTTTGAATATTATTCGAATATCATTCAATACTAAAGAATTTTTGAAAGCTTCCTGCAAAATTTTGCTTATTTTAAGTCTTGAATTTGTTGAAAGCTTTGAATGTTTTAACAATACATTTTTTGCTTTACAAGATGATATTTGAATTTTATTCTCTATTTTACTCGCCGACAACAACAATTTTATTTGTAAGAACCTGTAAATACTTGAGATTTAAATACAAATCTATAATCTAAATTTAAATATAAATCAAAGGACAAATTTTCTATAGACGTTTAAAGACTCAAAAGTTTCAAGCATTCAAAATTTTTAAGATTCTTCAAGATTTTCACTATTTTCAGTTTTGAATAATATTTGGAACGATTTTGATCTTTGAACAATGATAACAAAATATTCGGAAACATTCGAAAGATTCAAGACGTCTATCGCTCAAGAACGCGCATTATATAACCGATGTATCTCTTAATTTCAATTAATATAATCGCCTTATCGACATACGTCATCTGCGACCTAAAATATTTCGGCGTCGCCACATCGTACACGTATACTCGCCACGATCGGAATCACGAGGGTGAGCTCCCCCGTTGGTTTCAGTTAGGGGAGGGTCGACGAAAAGGGAAAGAGGGTCGTCGGTGGGTCTGGTCGACGGCGCGTGTGCATGGTCCACCTGTGCGAGAGGGAACCTAGCACCTGTCACCACACGCGCACACCAAGGTGCCTCCGTCAGGTCGCTGGTAAGCAGGTAGGCTGCTAGTCTAGCCAGCCAGCCAGTCTGCAAGCGCGTTCCACCCCTTTGCTACCACCAGTCGAACTCGCCCGACCGTGCCGTGTGCACGCCACTCTCTCACTCGCAGTCAGTCGTCGTTAATCGCTTATTTCGTACATACGCGCTCGTACTTTGTCTCTATTCGCGGGGAAATAACGTAAAATAATTTCAGTTTCGCGCGTGGTATCGCTATTTTTGAAAAATGTCTCCCTTTGCCGACGCAGACTGTTCGCTTGTGGGATTGTAATCGATGTTGCGCCTTTCCGCGAACGAGCTCAACGAGTGACGCATTATCTTCTGACACCGTTTGCCTCCCGAAAAGCGTGGATTCTCGATCAAAGTTTGTGTATTTCAATAGAAATTTTTAATACATACTACGATGCGTAATACTAGTGCGTATAATGAAATAAAGAAGAAAAGGAAAAGTTTTATTCCAAACGCGCGGTCGTCATTTTTCATGACGTCAGGTGACATTTCTACAAGTTCGATGAATCACGACTTCTAAGTATCGCGTGAGCAGTTCGGAAAAACCGTACAGTTAGAATTCAACTTTGGAACATCAGCTTCTTCTCGTATCGCACGATATTGACTTGCGAGCTTTCGAGTGGACAGAAAAGTGCGTTTCAACGACTCGTCATTGTTGCCTTCCAAACAAAATCGTTTGCGCCCTTATTGTCTATAATTTACGAAGCTTAACTTGAATAATTCAATTACTGTCAGCCTAGACCGGGTCAGCCGGGATTCCTCGATAATTTTTTAAAACACTAGAAGGGCTCCTCTCGAAAAAAAATTAACGCTGTTTAACGGGAAAACTATTGTTTTGCGTAGGCGCTTATCGCGCTGGCACGCTAGCGCGGGTGATGAGAGACGGCAAAAATGAGGATCGACCTAGCGGAAGTTGAAGTATCGACGGAGGAGGATAGCTCGCCTGCCATCGCTGCTACCACCACCGGCATGGACAGCACAGACGACTACGATGGAGTCGAAGCCGAATTGACGAGCCTCTCCTGGCTGCAGTCGTTGGATATCACCAGTGCGTCCGGTCTGCCGACGCCACCCTGCTCGCCATCGCCGCCGCCGGTCGCCCGCCAACCCCCGAAGAAGCTGTCGCCCTTGGTTAAGGCCGAACTAGGTAATCAGATTTTAAGGATTTTATTCAGAACGGGAGTGCAACACCCGTGCACGCAGTTTCATTATTATCATACATGAAATTTCGAAAATCACGAAAAATTATTTATAAATGAAATATATAAAAATACGTAAAATATATAAAAGTTTATTTAATAAGAGTGAAAATCGACCAATATGTAAATAATTACACAAGTAAGCGAAAAGAGCATTATTCAAAGTATAATTAACTCTTAGTGCCTAATATTTTTGTATATGAATTTATTTAGAAATTGATTTTCTAGATTGATTTCATAAATTTATGCTGTTTGTATTTATCCGAAAGATACAAATTATATAAACATTTATTTTGATATATTTAGTACTAAAAAAGGTTATTTATTTTTCATTTTATTTATTTATTTATTTTATTAAATTATTTTATTTAGTCTGTCTTATTTCTCGTTGACAACTTTATAAAATATTTAAATTATTTGATCAATTTTACAAGTAACTATATTTAGATATATCGATATACCGATCTTCTAAAAATATTTATACATTTTATAATAATATTGTACAATTGAGAGAGTAATTTTCTTTCGATTTCGCGTCTTTATTAGATCTCGCGGAAAATGCCGAGAAGTATCGAACGGATCCTGACGCGAAGCCGCCGTTCTCCTACGCCACTATCATTTGTCTTGCGATGCGCGCCAACAATAACAAGGTCTCCCTTTCAAATATTTACGCTTGGATCCGAGAGAATTTCTTGTTTTACAAGTACGCTGATCCAGCCTGGCAGGTAAAAAGACTAGATGGTTTTTTCCAATTTTTCTTATCTTGTTTTTTTAATTATTCAACAATATATGTTATCTAAATAATTAAATACATTTAGTTATCTAATTAAAAATGTTTTTTTTTCTAACAAGAAACCTGTTACAACTGACCGAGATCGATTCGATTTTTCTTGAAATGTTATTAAGCATAAAATCTAAAAAACGTATTTTTTAATATGTGATTCCAATCTGAGATTTAAAGGGTGAAATCATCCCCTGAGAAATAACGCTTATATTCGATTTCATGCAAACGCTTATAAACGAAATGGTAAGATATATAAAAAATGTTTTAGATAAAACTTATATGATTTTTTAAATGTATTTTATATTTATTTAGATTTTTTTTAAATTTAATATTTTTCAAAACATCTTTTCCTCTTATTACTTGAAATTTAAATAATTTTTGCTGAGAATAAAAATTAAAGAAAATTTTGTAAACAATGATAAATATGACAAAATTATTTTACAAAATTTACTCTTAGCAAAAATTTATATTTTATTACAGTAATAAGGAGGGATTTTGAAAAATATTAAATTTTCAAAAAATCTAAATATATAGCTATAAATACATTTAAAAAATCATAAAAATTTTGTCTAAAACGTTTTTTATACATCTCATCGTTTCGTAGATAATTGTCTGAAATCGAACTGAAGCGTTATCTTTGAAGGGTAGTTTCATCCTTTAAATATCTCAGATTGGGACATATATAAAAAAATATGTGTCACTTAGATTTTTGTGCTTTATATTTCAAGTAGAATCGAATCGGTTTCAAACTATTTCAGTACTGAACATCATTGATAATAACGCTAATAATATCTTTATCGTTTATTTCGAGCAGAACTCGATTCGGCACAATCTCTCGTTGAACAAGTGCTTCGTAAAGCTGCCACGTTCCAAAGACGAGCCGGGAAAGGGCGGCTTTTGGAAGCTGGATCTTGAAAGAATGGAGGAGGGTAAACGGTCTAGGCGCCGTTCCGCAATTTCGCAGCGGGTTCGGGGCACGAAGAAGCAGTCTCCTTCCACGACGATCACAACGACGACGACAACGACAGCGACAGCGGCAACGGCGGCAGTGACTGCCACGACGACGCTCAACGCCCTTCAGACCGGTAGCAGCTGCACGCCGCCCACCAGCTGTCTGTCCAACACCCTGTACGAAACTCCGCCTAGTAGCGTGTCACCCCCCATCCCGGACAGTCTGTCAGAGGTGCCGGAGTCGACGCAGGTGAGCCTGAGCGAGGACGACTTTACAAGCTTGCTGATCGCCGGTTGGGATGAAAATAATCAGTTGGAGCTTCTCGATCTTTTGGACACTCTCTAAACGTTCCTCCTCCTCCCAATACCCTCCCTTTCTCATCTCTCTTTCTCCCTCCTTTTCGCAGACTCTCAGGAATCATCAGTTCTTCGTACGGAACGGAAGCGTTTTCTCCCTCGATTTCTTATTTTACACAATGATGATGTAAATAACAGCATTTTCCGAAATTCAGATAAACCAAAAGTAATCTCAATCTTTGATTCCACTGAAATTCGCGAGAACGTTTCGTTTCACGTACCGCGATTACGATAAAACGTGTGAACAGTAATTATTATTAATCAGAGAATAGGCATTTAGATATTCTTTTTCGTGTAAACGATTACTAGAGTGATTTTTACACCCCAATTAAAAATCACTATTATTAATTACGTATTGTATATTATTGATTGTTCTATAATTTATTCGTATATTTAAGATTGTTTTATGTATATAGATTTACTTAATATTTAAAAAAAAAAGAGAAATAAAAAAATAGGTAGGATTTTCGATCAGTAAACAAAGGTACTATGACTTTTATTATCTCGTTGCTGGGGCGTAAAAATTACTTTAGATGACTATTCCCAGATTAAATCCTGAGAAAAATTTAATAATGTAAATATTAAATTAGTGCACTGACAACAGTGCTTTTGTAATATACTTAAAAAGAAAGTAATTATTTTCTTTTTAAAAACTTAACTAATTTAATACTTACAGTATTAAATTTTTCTAAGAAAACAATAACGTCCAAGAACATGCGGATGCAGTAATTTGATTGTGTGTTGTTATATAAAATATAAAATATTAATTTCGTAATCGAAATGACACGATTCACTTGCGGCCGAAGTCGTAGTGGTGAGACGGAAATGTCATTAGGGAAGAAAGGCCAGAGAGAGAAAAGCGAGTGTATATCTTCTTTCTTCTTCCTTAACAATGAGGTAACAGGCGCAAAAATATAACCGAATAATCGTAACGTGTGTCGCAATCCAAGCGCGCCTAGGCAGATGGTCTTAAAGCTCCTATTGTTTCCTCACTGGAACCGCATTGGACTGTGACGCGAGAAGCGAGAAGTGAATTCATTGTGAACCTTTTTTCCCTTTTCTTCTTTCTCTTTCATACACTGAAATGGTTATTTCATATTGCACTACTATCCGTGTGCGATATAGATTAAAGTAATGCACTATATCAAAAACTTTTTTCTTTAACTACTCTGCATTGATTCAATCTGTAATTTAATCTACTTATGTACATATATCTTACATTTCCAACAAAAATGAACCGTTATGACAATTAATCAAAATTTACAGTTGCTTATTAATTAAAAGTAGAGAATTCTCGATACATTCTATCAATCTATCAAACGTGTGGGGGTGTACGAAAAAAATTATTATAATTTATTCCGCGACGTATAGTACGTATATAGTGCGTATATAGTACGTACATACGACCAATGTAACGTGTAAACATGTAGAAAAACATTCACATGAGTCCTCCTGTCTGTGGCCGTAAATACAATATGACTGCATAGAAAATGAATTATCGACATCAGCAATCTCGTTACGTATATAACGTTTATAATTGATATATTAATTAATGCCGAGACGGTTATCGATGACAAAAGATATTGTAATTCGGTTGAAGTGTTATTAGATTATGCCGCCGAAATATCTGCCACGATCGGCAGCGGTTACATGAGTACGATTCGAGTAAATATCAGTGCTTTTGATATATTTCATGAATTTAGAGATATAAGCAGTATTCTTTCCGATATGTAATGAGAAGAAATTCGTTGTTTCTATATATATTCAGTTTCTGTATTCTGTAACGATATCTTTAATTTGTGATTTATTTATTTCGACACTTGTTTCTGCCGCATCCCCATCTATTCAGCTTCGCACTGTAACCGTTGGCTCATTTCAATTTTCTTTCTTGAGTTCATCATCGAGCCTTTTTTCATTTCTTTTGCACCGATATTTCTCTTTGCCTGGAGAATGACCGTACTCCTTGCGGCAAAACAATTCACGCATCGTGCCTTCGAACAATTAGAAAATGTCCCTTGTATTCTTAAGCAACGTCTTATATACATTTTATATACGTATATGCATATATATATGTATATATACATGTATATATATATGTATATATACATATATATATATACATATATAAAATTAAAAAATACATATATGTGTGTATGTATATATATTACACACATATACATACATATATGTACATATACATATAAGTTCATACACGGAATGGAACACTAATATATTATATCAATTATTTCCGTTGTTTCTCATTTTAGAAAAAATGATGCATGTTTAATTCAAAGTTTTAGGGGAAGATATACAATAAATCTTTTTTTAGATCAATTTCATTAAATCGATTTATTTCATTATAACTCATTTCATTATAACTGTGCATAAAAATGAGTTATTAAAGATAAGTTATTAAAAAAAATGAATATTTTATAAGATATTTCATATTTTACATCACAAAATATATTAGAAATAAAATATAAAATATCTCATAAATTATGGATTTTCTAATATAGCTTTATATATACATACCTTCAATATTTTTATATATAAGACTAAAAATTAATTTGTGTAAAAATTAAATTATAAAATATTTTACATAATTAAAATTTATGTAAAAAGATCGTATAGTTATCTTTAAAGAAATATGACATTAAGATTTGAATGTATAATATAAAATAATAGTTGATATATGTATTATGCACATATAAGGTGTCCCAAATCTATCATACCATTTGCTGATGACAGATTCTTGAAGTCATTTAGAAATAAAAATTCTAATGTTAAAACGTTGAGACTGTAATTTTAGTTTTGGCCTGCACAGTCAGTTACTTAAATAAGTAAGAAAATTACAAAAATATAAATTTGAAAGGGCACGCAAAAAATATTTAAACATTAATATCTATCTAAGGATAGCTTTACTATGCAATAGAACACGTGCACATTTTGAACAATTCAATTGATTATCTTTAAACGCTTCCGATTTGAAAACTATTATAGACTCAACATTTTGATATTAGAATTTTCGTTTTTAAATAATCTGCTATGCTTAACAAATGTTGTGACATCCTGTATATACAGGATATCTATCACACCATTTATTGTTAAGCATATATATACATATTTCTTTTTTAATGAAATTTAAAAATAAAAATATAAAATTTGAAATATAAAATATTGTCTAAAGCAAGAAAAAATTAAAATAATTGAGTTGATATATATATATATATATATATATATATATATATATATACATATATATGGGCTGATCCACGTGAAGCGGATTAGACATCTCTCAGAAATTTTTTAAATTTTGCACATAGATAGGATAGGAGATAGAATTTTGTGCCAAAGGATTTTTTTTATTGCAAAATTAATCGAGATATAAACAATTAAAAATTAGATTACTTTATTCTTCAAAAATTCATAACTCTGTTATGTTACTAATAATGCTACCCAACTTCTTTTTTTTTTAAATACGCTAAAAATGTTCTAGTTTACGGGAAAAAAATAAAGATTCCAAAAAGGTTTTGTTTTCCATTGTTTGTTTAACAATAAACTTTTTAACAATTTTTTTAATAATCGGGAAGAAAGTCGAAAAATCTGAAAAAATATTTTTTATATACTTTCAGTTTTTCTACATCTTATTGTTAGAAAAAAAACTCAAGAACGTGTTTTGCGTCGTTTTCAAGAAAAAACTTTTTTTAATTCTCGATATGGGAAAAATCTTTCGACTCTCAGCGTGCGACTCTTACAAAACAGCCAAACCCTACAAAATACTGATTGGAAAGTCAATACTTTATAAAATCGACTTTGCAATATTTAACTCTCTAAACAATTTTATTATTTATTTCGACCTCTCGCTTGCGTTTTTTTTATTACAGTCTGCTGTACATAATCTTGCATTATAGTTGTTATCAAGTATTTTGTTGCATTATAATTTCATTATAATACAACAAAATATAATTATATAGTATAATCTTGCGTTATAATTATTATCAAGTATTTTATTGCATTATAATTATATTATAATACAATAAAATATAATTATATAATATAATTATAATGCAACAGATCGGAAGAGCACACG